AAATTAGACATCACAAAGGCCTTATAATAAATCCCTATTACCTCTATTCAATCTAGCGTATCCTTTTGCCCCATGACAAATTCTGAGAAATTTTAATATACAATTAAGACATTCAAATTCTGTACATACAGCTACTTCTAATTGTCTGATTAATGGCTTTCCTGGTCAAAATAATCTTTGTTTATTATAACTGGATCTATGGGAACTTCCATATTTTTCCTGGTTACCTTTGTATTGATTTTTTCTGCTTAACTGATCATGCTATACTGCAAATGTTATCACTACCTAAAATGAAAATATAAAAACCTACTTGTACTTGCAATAAATGGAACAGAGCTTCACTGTCCTTTGAGGCATGATGTCGTCTGTTACCCATCGCTGACGCCTTACCCACCTTCGGGATCTCTGGACCCTGCCAAGCCTGGACCCCGGCAGTGAATGAAATCATATGGTGTTTTTCTTTCTCTAACTGGCTTATTTCACTTAGCATAATGTTCTCTAGGTCCATCCATACTGTCACAAAGGGAAAATTTTCTTCTTTTTTTATGGCCAAGTACTATTTCACTGTTTAAATGCCCCATAGTTGTTTTATCCACTCATCTACTGATGGACACTTAGGCTCTGAGTTTTTATGTTAGTAGTCAGTGATTGCCTGTCTACAGAGTGGTTCAGAGATCCAGGCTATTCCATCTTCTGGGGTCAGCAGTTATAGAACCCCATAGTTTTTAAAGTAATTTGCATCAGGAGAAAAAAAGAGGAATAGGTGTATACTCTTAAAAGTCTTGGCTCAGAAGTTATCCACAACACTTAGAATCCAACAAGCAATAAGTGAGAACAAGCCATGGATGTGCCTAGACATGAAGAGGGCTGGCAAATAAAAACCAGCTGGGAAGCTGCTACATAGTGACAGCTCTATACAGTGGGAGAGGGAGGACACATTTTGGATGGCTAAGAGTCTGTGCTAAGACGTACATTAAAGAAGGTGCAGTAATCCTTGTGTATGAAGTGCATTTGCTACAGCTGATAATGACGTTTGAGCTGTCAGACAGAAATTATGGTGAATGTACATTTACCACTATGATCTTAACAGTTTTCAGTACTTAAAGACTCCCCTGATAAGTCAGTGGTGATGCTAACAAATATGAATTTTTAATGTGGTGTTAAAGAAGTGTGTCAACATTTAGAAAATCTGCATAACTCCCTGAACCAATATTTTCCAAATGACCAATGCATTGTATTAAAAATAATTATACACGGATTTTAGAAAGTGTGACCGCTGAGTGGATTTTAATGTGAGAGAGGACACAAAGCACAGTAATGTGGTTTCAAATTCCACATTGCTATGCACCATTAAGAAACTACAACTTCTCAAGCTTTGAAGTATAATAAAAAAATATTCGCAGTTATATGGAAAGGCTATTAAAATATACCTTTTTCTAACTACTGGTCTGTGTGATACTGGATTTTCTTTATATACTTCAATATATAGATATACTTCAAAAATCACATCCCAACAGAAGTAGGTACTGCAACTCACCTGCTTCCTGCTCTCATATGTAAGAGATTTTTTAAGTGGGAAGTGATGTTACTCCTCTCAAATCTTTTTTCTTGAAAATAGTACTTTAAAAATATGCTATTTATATTTACGTGAAATGGATTTATTACTGATATTTTTAATGAACTAATAAATGCTTAAGATTTATCAGTTTTAATTTCTAGTATATGAAATACTAATAGATACAAAAACATGTAAACAAAAGTTCTTTGGTGTCTTCAGTTATTGTTAAGACAGTTCAGTCTTTGAGGCTGAATAGTTTGAGAACCACGATCCTATAGGCAATTGCTGTGAATGGGCCCGGCCCGTGGTACTCGAGAACAGTTTCTATGTGGCTTATCTCCAAGCTGGACTCAGTCATCACTGTGAAGAATCCCTCACACATAAAACTCAGACAATTTATTTACTTAGGACATAGGTATGTTTGGATTTGGAGGGGTTTTTTTGTTTTTGTTTTTGTTTTTTTACAGATTCTAATGTTTCCTCGAGTCTGATATATTTTAACTTGTACATAAAAGACTTGAATGTCTGTAAGCATGTCATGTAAACCCCTTTAGCCTTATTTTTCCTCCCCCCACAATGAGGTGATTAGAATAGATTTTTTCTATAATTCTTTTTGTCTAACATTTTTTCCTATGACTTGTATCTGTAGGTGCTGAATAATCTTCCAAAGTGGTTGTTGACTGTTGCGGTGGTATGAGCAACAGGGACTGGTGGCTTAGATTTCTTGTTTTAGAGCTTTTACCCTCTATGGTTCTCTCCCTGTCTCTGCCTTTGTGAGTGTTGACACCTTGATCTGTGCACTGTAGGAATGCTGAGGCAGGTCAAGTGCAGACCCTGGGTAAACACGAGTATACTCTCATATACATGCAGGTGTGCGCATGTGGCTTTTCAGGAATAAAATGACTCATGCTCCATGTATACTGATGTCTCAGAATTGCTTCTTCTAACCCAAAACATATTTAAACCCTATTTTTTCTTCTTGACATTTGAGATGCTTACTTTCATCTGGGATTAACTTTTTCCAGAATTTTAAACTAAGAGAACTTTCCATTTTTGTTTTAATGAAGTAAACAGACAGCAAGTAGTTAAAATTTGCCTTCCAAACAAAATGGCATATCTCCCTTTTTAGGACTGGGATGTAAGCAGTTATTGAATGCAAGTATCTGGAATGACTCAGGATTTACAAGCCAGCTTCCCTTAACTAGTGTATTATTAGATTATTTACAAGACTAGGATTTTTTTAATGTTTTTTATTGTTATTCAAGTACAGTTGTCTCCATTTTCTCCCCACCACTCCCCCCCATCCCAGCCATCCCCACTGAAATAAGCCAGGCCGTGAAAGACTAGTTTTAATGCTCATTTCTCTTCTTATGGTACAACACCATATAACATTTTAAACTCAGATGAAGATATTTTAAAAAAATATTTCTATACCTCTCCCCTAATTTTGAAACCCAGTTTTCCTTTTTATCTGTACTGTAAGGTTAAAATATTAATGGACTCCATAGTTTTTTATAAACTATAGTTTAAACCACAAGCAAAGTTTAAAATCTTTATAATCAGTCAACATGTAGCTTTTAAGTATCTATGTGCAAATTACTGGACACAGTGCTGTGGGGAGATAAATATTTTTAAAAGATAGATAGTAGTTACTCCTACACAAGTTCAAGTTGATATTTAACAGAAGACATGTTCCAGAAATAAAGTGTTAGCCAGATGGATGAGCTAGTTAAACTTTAATTTATACTTCTGTCATTTTGCTACCACTTCACTGTTACCAATGCTTAGAGACAATGAAAAATTAATCCTTAAAACTTGGCAATAAGGTAGCACTCTGAAAATTAAGCCAGTAAAAATTCAGCATTGTGCTTTTTATTATGCATCATTGGAAAAAAAACAAGAAATTTGCATGACTAAAGAGTGAGAAAACTCCCAAGACACTATATTTCTCCCAAAAGATATAAATTCCTAATGTGGTAGTAATTTAAAAGTTGTATTGTTATATTGTTATTGGTTGTACTTTACACTGTATGGAGAAAGACTATATACACATGAGGGGCAGACAACATGTGGCATGTGATAGAGGTGGCCCAAAGCAACAGAAACTGTCAGTGTTGCTACAGGACTCTCCAGATTTGATCTTTGTGAACTTGGTTTCGTGATAATTTGATAATATATCTTTTAAAACTATTCGACCTCTCTTCACTTTGATGCAATGCTTGCCAAGCAATTTTCTAATTACTAATTTAGCTTCCAAGATAATTTTTGATGGTTTTCCATAGGGTGACCTGCATATGCTTGCCCCAGATATGTTGGTCACTGATTGGTAGCAGTGGCCAGAGGGGCTGGATAGCATAAAAAAGCAATGTGTTTTATTGTATTATAAAATGCATTAATATCCTCTATTGGGTGACATGGAAATGTCATGAGAAGTGAATAACAAGAATTATAATACTTCTGAGAGTCGCTAGTTTAAACAAAACATTTGTAACTAAATTTGTATTGTACTTAAACATTGACATGATGCTTTGTAGTGAAGTATGCTCATTATTCTGTTACTGAGCTGGAAGTGGTTTATCCATCTATTTACCGAATACTTACTGAGTGCTTACTTTGTGCCAGATGCTGCTAAAGGTACTTTGAGATGTGCAAGGGAGCAAAACAGATAAGATCCTTTCTCTGTAAAACGAATGGCCTAGTGATGCGATAAACACAATGGATCCAGGAAACTTTATGGTTTTTGTTGAGCAGTGAGACAGTTGGACAGGTAAGGTAGAGCCAATTGTTTGACAGTCTTGAATACTATTTTAAAAGATTTAAATCCAATAGGATGTAAAGAGCCAACATGGGTTCTTCAAGTGGCAACTGAAACAGCCAAAGTCACGTTTTAGGAAGATCAAGGAGTTAGGTAGCAACTGAGATGAGAAGGAACTTGAGACAGAAGAATGATCAGGGAACAATGGCTAACCTCTAGACATGAGTCTAGACACTCATGAGGTTGTAGAAGAACCAAGAAACATGCATCTGAGATATTGAGAAAGGAGAAACTAGCCGAGTTTTGGTAATACTAGATAGTCAAAGGGAAGCAGAGGCAAGAATAACAGCTGACCAAGTTTTGAGCGTAAATAATAGCAAGAATATTTATCCACTCCTATGTACTGTTGGTTAAAATACATGTTTAGAAAAGTTTTCTGAAAATCAGTTTTTCAAAGTGCATTTTTAAAGGAATTTTTGGTCCAATATTTCTATTTTTATAATCATCTTAAAGAAATAATCAGAAATATAAATAAGCATTTATAAAAAATATATATTTATGTTAGTGAAAAATTTAAAACAACCGAAATAACCAGCCACAGAAGATCAGTTTAATAAAGAAGAGTAAAGTAGAAACCCTCTCATCTAGTCTAGAAGATACATTAATTTGTTGATTAGTGGAAACATCTTATTAAACTGGGGAATTATTAAATTGATATATACATGCCTTAAAATTTTTATTTCAAACATTACATACATCCAACTGACAATTTCTGATTCAAGGTTATGGCCTTTCCTCTGAGTATGATTCTAATAATTATATTGCCCATTAAATAATATCTTCAATGGGGTGAGATTTCAATATCTACCAAGCACTCTAAGTATAAACTCTATATTTTTATTTTTATTTTCCTGTTGTCTTCCCATACCTAATTTAACATTTAAGTTTTTAATCTCTTTATTCATTACCACTGCATAAGCCACTCGAAGAACTTTGGCTTCTTTTGAGTAATGGAAAATAATTGCAGTTTTAAACACAAGAATTGCATTATCTGAAATATAACTTAACAGAATCAAACTGGCTGCTCTGTCTGAGAACTCTGGGGTGTGTGCAGGCGAGGGGCGACTTTGTACGCTTTGTACTCCATGGTTGTTCCAATGCACTCTGTCTAGTGTTCGCATTTAATTTTAGCCTCAATCATGAAGAGCAAAAATATGAAGGCATCTAAGAAAACTAGGGATCCAAAAAGCACCAAGGACTTTAGAATCTTATGGAATAAGAAAGTATGGAATTAGGTAGGAAGCAGCATAAGTCTTAGGGTGTTTAAGGAAGAAACAAGGATAAAGAACCAGATATAGTTCCTAAAGAGACTTCCCCCTCCCTGTCCCGGGTAGCCAAAGGCTCTCCAATGCATAGAGAATTCCCTGGGAAGTTTTAGAAACACCATTGTCTAGGCTGCATCCAGGATACACTGATGCAGCTGACCTGGGTGCAGGGGAGCCTAGAAATCATTTTTTTTTTTAATCCCAGGTAATTCCAGTATACATCTGGCAATAAAATCAATTATTTTCAAGTCTTTAGGGGTCTTTTTATCCTCAGATAGTCTTGGGCAACTTGTGATTGATTGCCTCCACCATCCAAACTCGCTCTGGTTTGAGGAATTTCAGTTGGCATCTATGATCTTTCTGTCTTGAGACAGGGCAGGGGAAGGGAGGATTATCTTTAGGTTGGCTCTGAAGGCAAGGTCATTTCCTTCGTGTGGAGGCGAAGTGAGATGGTAAGGTTTACAGCTCCATTAGGACTTTAAGGAGGCACGACTCAAGCTAAAAGGCAGTCCAGAACTGTGGTTCAAATTTTTTCTCAGAGAACAAACCATACAGTATCCCTCAGGGAAGGATGGAGAATGTTGTCACATAGAATATACCTAGTTCTTTCTCTGCTGAATGGCTCACCACAGAAAGCCATGAATTACTCCTATTAGGCACTAAAGAATCCTGTGTGTGGCAGTGGACTTAAAACCATCCAGTTTATGACTTAAAGTGGCCTCCAATGATCCCTGCTTTCTAGTAATTGTGTCTGTATGTGATTCCCTACACTTCAGTGTAGCAGAAGTGATGGAACATTCCTTTCAAGATTAGGTTATAAACACAGTTGCTTCCCTTTTGGCCATACTCTCTCATTTTCTCTGATCACTTGCTTTATTGGAAACAAATTGCCATGTTTTAAGTTATGCTATTGAGAGGCCCATGTGCTGAGGAAGTGATGTTTCAAGCCAGCAGCCAGTGAGGATCTAAGGGGGATCCCTTTATGAGTTGAGAGCATTGAGATAATAATAGATGTCTGCAGGCCTGGCCAACACCTTGATTGCAGCCTTGTAAAAGATTGTAAGTAATGACACCTAGTGAAAACATGCCCAGGTTCCTGAGCAGTAAACTATAGGATAATAAATACTTGCTGTTTAAGCCACTAACTTCAAAAATGTGTTATATAACAATAGATAACTAAGAGTTGCTGGATTAATCAAGAGACAGGTCTGCCATCTTCAAGCTAAACATTATTATATAGCTCACATTTAATTATTAGAATATAAATGTGCATAGCTCTTCATAAATTTAATAATGAGGATTTAGAAACTGAAATCAAGCAATAATCAGAAAGTAAAAAAAATAAAAGCCATCTTCTCAGGTGAGAATAAATACAGGTATTATTGGGAAGAAACTAGGACTTTATTATTTCTAGCTTCCTGTCAAATCTCCTCAACTCAAAAGTAATAAATTTTCTTGACAAACCATTCAAAGTAAGAGGATAAATGGGACCATATGTGAACCTCAAGAAACATCACCTTCATTGAAAACAGCTGTTTAGTTGAATAAATATAGAAGTAAAATAGAGTAGCCTGACAACAATGCTGAAACAGACATTGAGTTTTAATGAACTATATCATGTTAAGATACACTAACCAAAGAGGCCAATTAAATATTCTCTGAAAACTCTGTTTTGGAGTGATCATGGAAATGGGTAAGGCTGATGACCATCTGGTACCCACAAGTTAGTCACAATGACTTTCATCTATTCTGATAAATCAGTGGTGTACAAGGTCTGTCCAGAAAAAGTCCAGCCATTGTTAATATAACAAGAACTGTTTGCACAACATCCACATAACCTGGAGCCAAGGAGACTGGACTGGAATGCGCTTGTGTGAACACTGACGACTCACTATACTATTCAGCAGGGGTGGTAGATGCAAGTGAGTGAGCATGCACACTGGGTGGCCATAGCATCCAAAATGACTGAGCAAATAGAGCAATGAATTAGCATCAAATTTTGTGTGAAGCTTGAACATGCATCTGTGGAAACTATTAGGATGATTCAGAAGGCCACAGCTATGAGCAACCAGTGACTGGCAGCTTCATCACAACAACATGCCTGCTCATGCATCACGTCTCGAATAGAGTTTTTAGTGGAACATTAAATCACCCAGGTGACTCAGTTCCCCTACAGTCCAGATTTGGCACCCTGAGACTTCTGGCTTTTCCCCAAACTAAAATTACCTTTGAAAAGGAAGAGATTTCAGACCATCAGTGAGATTCAGGAAAATACAATGGGGCAGCTGATGAATGGGAGAACTGTGTGAGGTCCCAAGGTGACTACTTTGAAGGGGACTGAGGCATCACTGTCCTGTGTACACAAAGTTTCTTTTATCTTGCAACTTTTCAATAAATGTCTCTATTTTTCATAGCTCATGGCTGGATACCTTCTGGACAGACCTCATATTCTGATTGACCATTATCCACTCATGCTACATAGTTACATATTTTTTATATTGCCCTTATTCTTAGTGAACTTTAAATAACATTTTGGTTTTCTTTAGCAATGTGAGATCTGTGTGTAAATTGGACTATGAGAGGGTACAAATCTCTTGTGTCTTATTCATGCCCAAGTATATGGCACTAGGGTAGTGGTATAAATGAAGCTGCATGATAAACCTTGTACATCTTTCTGATGCATAACTTTTACTCACTGTTGTCACTATCATAGTAAAACAAACACAAATGTATTATGAAATAAAATATAAAAATTACATGTGTCTTAAGAGAGAGGATATTTCTTTAAAAAATATGTCTTTGATGGGTTACCTTAGACTCTCGTCTCTACCTCTGTTACTGGCATTTCAGTAGAAAATTGTGAGAGGCACTGATTTAGGATATTTGTCATTATGGAGTTGCTTTTACTACAGTTGTTCCCATTGTCCATCTTTGTGTTCTTTGTCACTCTGGAGAACCAAAAGTGCAGCTCCAGGGCAGGAAAGTAAGAATTTATCTGTAGCATGTCTGCTCTTCTATCAAGTTGAATTTATAGCCAACTCAAAGGTTGACAATTTATATTTCAGCTTTTTTATGTGAAAATATTTTAGTTCACAAATTGCATTTGAATATAACTTCTTGCCCTGGCCAGTGTGGCTCAGTTGGTTGGAGCATTGTCCCACAAACTGAAAAGATCGTGGGTTCCAGTCCCAGTCAGTGCTTTGCATACCTTGCAGACATGCCTGCCTTGCCGATTTGGTTCCCAGTCAGGGTGCATGGGAGAGGTAGCCTATTGATGTTTCTCTTTCGCAGTGGTGTTTCTCTCCCTGTCTCACCCTTCTTTCCCCTCTCTCTAAAATTAATAAGCATTTCCTCAGGTGAGGATTAAAAAAAAGAATCTTTATTACTACTATTACTAATATTTATAGTCTTAATTTTTTCCTAATTATTGGAAACCTATGTATTTAACAATATTCTCTTTGAAAGACCATTTTAAGAAAAGGTTAATCTGTTTATATGGATATTGTGCACAATGCTCTCCATTTGCAAATAAAGAGGTACATGTAAGTGTTGAATAGGAATTAGGGTTATAAGTTGCATTATTTTTTAATCCTTTTGGGAAAGATCATCACAGTATAGACTAATCAATTGTGTATGAAGTGAATTGCCAAAACATCTCATGTTTGCATGCAAAATGTAAAGATCATATCTCAAAGGATTTCTTCAAAAGAGATCACTGGATAGTAATCCCAGCAGTCTAAGAGTAGGAAGCACATGCTAAGCGCCCTAGATTCTTGTGACAAATCTCTACCTAAGCAGCTATATGACTTTGGGTGTGTCACAGTCTTCATTTCCTGGCCTGCATATGGGTGAGAGGTACTTACGCCCCTTGCAGTTCTGACTGAGATTCTAGAATTCTAAGCATATGTAACTGGTGCAGATTTTCTGAAATTTGCATGATAAATGTAAAAATTGGGGGCATATAATTCAAAGTGTTTCTAGAAATACTACCAGATTGGAATTACTGCTAAATATTGGTTTAATTCAGCATTGCTGTATAATTTGATCATACCTTCATAGTCAAAGAATATTAGGTCCTAACAAACTTGTATCTGGTATGCGTATATACTATTTCTGCTTAAATTTCATATAATCATGTTTCACCCTAACTTTTGCCTCCTTGAACAACCAAAAGAAGGACAACAACAAATTAAAAAAAAACCCCAAAACTGAACTGCCAGAAAATCAAACTGTATGGAAGTCCAACAACCAAGGAGTTAAGGAAAAAACATTTATTCAGACCAGTAGGAGGGGCAGAGAAGATGCATGTCAAGGCAGCAGCTAGAGGACCAGGTGGGCAAGAGGGAAGCTGGTGGATCAGGCAGTCCCATATTTGCATGCAGATAAACCAGAAGGAACAACGGGGGAGCGAGACAGACTGTGCAACCCAGGGTTTCAGCATGGGAATATAATGCCTCAGAGCCTCTGACTATAAAAATCTTTGGGGGTAGCAGCAGTGGGATAAACTCCTAGCCTCACAGGAGAGTTTGTTAGAGAGACCCACAGGTTTCTAAAATGTACTCAAACACACCCACCTGGGAATCAGCACCAGAAGGGCCCAATTTGCTTGTGGGTAGTGGGGGAAGTGACTGAAAGCTGGAAGAGAGCTGAGCAAGCACCACTGTTCTCTCTCAGACCCCTCCCCCACCTACAGCACCACAACACAGTGATGTGGGTTGTCCTGCAAATTAGAGGAAAAAGTGAAGGCTATGCAAAAAGTGAAATAAAGAAAAATATATAGGAAACCAACAGTGAAGGGAAGAAAAACTGGACTCAAATCAATGATTTGGAGCAGGAGGAAGAAATAAACACTCAACCAGAACAGAATGAAGAAATAAGAATGCAAAAAAATGAGGAGAGGCTTAGGAACCTCCGAGACAACTTTAAACATTCCAACATCCAAATCATAGGGGTGCCAGAAGGAGAAGAGGAAGAGCAAGAAATGGAAAACCTATTGGAAAAAAGAATGAAGGAGAAGTTCCCCAATCTGAGAAAGAAAATAGACTTTTAGGAAGTCCAGGAAACCCATAGAGTCCCAAAGAAGTTGGACCCAAGGAACCACACACCAAGGCACATCATAATTACATTACCCAAGATTAAAGGTAAGGACAGAATCTTAAAAGCAGCAAGAGAAAGGGAGACAGTTACCTACAAAGGAGTTCCCATAAGACCATCTGCTGATTTCTCAAAAGAAACCATACAGGTAAGAAGGGGCTGGAAAGGAGTATTCCAAGTCATGAAAGGCAAGGACCTATATCCAAGATTACTCTACCCATCAAAGCTATCATTTGAAATGAAAGGGCAGATAAAGTGCTTCCCAGATAAGATCAAGTTACCCGAGTTAATCAGCACCAAACCCTTACTATATGAAATGTTACAGGGACTTATCTAAGAAAAAGAAGATGATCAAAAATATGAACAGTAAAATGATAATAAACTCACAACTATCAACAACTGAACCTAAAAAAGACAAAAATAAAAATAAAGCAGACAACTAGAACAGGAACAGGATCACAGAAATGGAGATCACATGGAAGGTTATTAGCATGGAAGGGGAGTGGAAGGAATGGGGGAAAAGGTACAGGGAATAAGAAGCATAAATGGTAGGTACAAAATAGACAGGGGGAGGTTATGAATAGTGTAGGAAATGGAGAAGCCCAAGAACTTATATGTATGACCCATGGACATGAACTAAGGGGGAAATGGTGGGGGAGGAGGAATAAAGGGGAGAAAAGATGGAAAAACTGTAACAGCATAATCAATAAAATATATTTAAAAAAAGTAAAAATAATAAAAAAATGAAGTAAAATTTATCTAATTACGAATTGTCTTTTATATTCAAATATTGAATCAATCTGTATGAAAATTGATTATGGAAAGACATTCTACTAGGTACTAAGGATATAAATATGAAAAACATAGGTCCTCTTCTGCCCTCACACATTCACAAGATTACATTCACAGAAGCTTGATCCAGGAAGCTAGTCTAGTAAGACCCTTGAGTCAGATAACAGTGAAAAATATCATGGCACCTCCCCAGAGTATGTCTGAGAAGGAGCAGTTCTTTCTAGCTTCTTGCAGCCTGTCATGTAGGTGAGTCACAAAAAATTCAATTGAATCTGTTATTTCTATTCATTTAGCCATTTCATGTAATTCTCTCCAATAAATGCATTACCAAATAATAACAAAGGATATTGAATGACAAGTAATTTTAATTTAAAACCATCATGGTGAGCATATCAATAGTATAATTTGGATAAATGTTGACCTCCTATTAATGAATATATAAAGTACTACCAAAATCTGCCAGTGGAAGAGTTATGTGTACATTTACTTTTCTGATAAGCACATTATCTATAGCCTTTTTGACACTGAGGGCTTTAAGACCCTGTTTTGGGCTTTGTGCTCTTGCCATCTAACAGGAGAACAACTTTTGATGCTGCCTTACTCTGAATGTCAAGATTTCTAGAGATTAGAAAAATTATACTAACTTTAAATATGTATGTTTTGAAAATATGGTACAACTGATAAATGTAGTCTAACTTTAAATTCTGTAAGTTCTTTTAACTTACATGATTCAATTTTAATTGACAAGAGTATGTGGCAGAACATATTTCACATTTTTGCATTGTTCCCTGGGAGACATCTATTGTAAGAATTGCTGCAGGCTGTCGTTTTTGTCTGTCATCCAGGATTTGCTGGCTCAAGTGCTGTGTACTGGACTTAGTGCTGGTCACGAGGAGGAGGGAACTTGCAGTTGAGCCACCCTGTTTTGTTATTGCTTTAGAATTAAAAGCATATGAAACAGAGACAGCTTATTAAGGTTGTTTTTTATAAATAACATAAACTTAACAAAACAATAAAGTTCATATACAACTTAAAATAGAGTTTAATGCTATAACCACCGAAAAAGCATGATTATTTGTGGGAAAAAACATTATTAAAAGCCATATTCCTGAATATGAATTATACAAAAGGTAGATTATATTACTTGAATTTTAACTTTTTGGGATTATGAAATGTTATTTTGTGGCAAGTGAGATGAAATACAGTATTATCATCATTATTGCTATTTATACACAAGATTTTTGAAAATACCCTTGTAGCAATATCCTTTCAATTTGAGCAGCACTATGAATTTTGTTTCTGTTAATAAGCACAAAAAATGTTCTAGTCATATACTTTTATAAAACTACCTATTTGATTTAATTTCATAATAGAACTTTTGAGAGAATATTTCTTCTTTTCTGATCAGTGTTTGAATGAACTATGAGTTTTTACCAGAAAGCATTTCAAATACTGCTCATCTTCCATAGTTAGCGTTGGCTTGATTATCTGACAAGTCATTCCAGCAGCCTTCAGGTCTGACACATCTTATATAACATCATCTGCATTATTATTATTATAGCAGCCATTTAATAAGCAGATAGGAATATTTAAATAATCATTATCAGATAATCAAATCTAACATACTCTTAAGGGTAAATTAACTTAGGAAAAAACAGTACTATTACTAACATCATGATTGTACAACCAGTTTTACAATTTTTTACAACTTTTAGTTACTAAATCTGATTTTTGTGTTTATTTTTCAAATCTTTCTTTAATGCAGTCTCTTAAAATAAACATAAATCGCAAGTCCAGCTTGATCAGTTTTTCAGTAGTTTTCCAGCCTTTCTTGGTTACTTAAAAAAAAAAAAAGAAAGAAAGAAAGGAAAGGAAAGGAAAGAAAAGAAGAAAAGAGAAAACAGTCCACTTAAAGAAATCTCCCTGCTGGAACTGGTTTCTTATATACCACATATGATTAGGTTATTGCCATAGGAAGAAAGTGAGCTGTTTTTTGTTCTTTCTTCGTTTTTCTCCCTCTTACAGGAACCCCCTTTTGATTTAAGGCAACAAACATTTCTCCTCCACTGTGTGTCCATTTAGCTGATGCATATGTGTTGTAATGGTTTTCCAGAATTAATTCTTTGAAGTTGCAATCTTCATTGCATTCTTTCTGTTAAAACAACAAACAAATGACATTATCCAAATGATTTTTAGAGGGACTCAATTAAACAAAGAGGAAGCAGTAATATTTAGTAGAACTAAAACATATATGAGGTGGGTGTAATGAAGTCAATTAGATATAGGTTCGCATATTTGCAAGAATAAATGACATCTTAATGTTTTTTAGAAAAAGATAAAATGATACACATTTGGTTATGCAACAGATTTGCAAACATGTGGCTTTTGGCAGTCGGTTGCTACTGTTCTTTAATGTTAGGAGCTATTTCCCCTTAATTAGCAGCTCTCATGTTACTCTGCCCAAGTCACTCAATCCCTGACCACTGAGACTTGGGTATAATTAGCACAGCTTCTGCCTCCCTCAGCTGAAAGACGTATTTCACAACCACTCTTCACTTTCTACACTGCCTGCAGTAGAGATGGAAAATGAAAAGTTAATTTATTTGTTCATCGATCCAACTAGTCATTCATCCCTTTAATTAAACCTATATTTTTATGTAATTAGCTTGTGCCAGGTATTGTACCTTTGGGAATACAAAGGAAGGTCAATTTTTTTTGTAGGATGAACTGTTACATATTTTATTGTAATAAAGTGGGAACAATGAGAATACCTGCAGTTCAAAGCCCATGATTTTGAGATTGATGTTGATAAACAGACTTTTGAATTTTCTCCCAAGAATTTTTATGTCAGCAATGTGCAAATTGGGTACACTTTAAAAAAAAGGGCTTTACTAGTTATAGACAGAAATTTTAGATTTTAGATTTTAAGTATCTAAAATGCACATGGAATGTTAGAACTGGAAGAATTTTTAGAGATTAGTTCAACTCAATTTACAGATGAAGAAACCAATGTCCAGAGAACTAAGCAATTTGTCCACTCACTCAAAAAAAACATTTTTCTTAATGCTTGAATATAAAATATTGTAATGAAATCATTACCTTATATAGTTAGAGTGAAATTAATTCAATTTTTACTCTTCAGAAAGGAAAGATGTTCTTGATAAAAATGAGTTTGAAAAATTAAGGCTAAGCTATTGATTATTAATACCTTTGCATAGAGTTTCCCTTCCTTGTTCATTGCAAGAAAATATTCACTCTCCACCCCTTTGATTGCCACAATTCCAACCTCCACTGTCCTGATTTCCATGATATCTGCAAGGAATCACAGAAAGACATGTCAGTTACTCATTCAGCTTTGCAGGTTATGCAGGAATGACCATTTGTCTTTATTTCTGTCTTATTAGGAAGTTGTTAAGATTATTAATGTGATTATTTCATTAGCCCGAGCCCCCTTTAACACATGCACACAAACACCAGATTACTAGTTCTTATTAAGAATGTGCAAACTACTGATTTTTTTATTTTGTGGACAAATATATCTGGATTGAAGTAAATAGTTACATATTTGAGCTTAGCTTTTTCTTCTCTAGAGTTACATTTCTTTTTAAAATTAATTAATTTATTTTTATTGCTGTTCAAGTACGGTGTCTCCATTTCCCCCCACCCAACTCATCCCCACCTCCCACCCTTGATCCAACCCTCTTGGTTTTGTACATTTCTAATTTACAAGAATAATAACAATAACAATAATGGCTAAGGTTTAGTGAACTTGTACCACATGCTAAGAATTGTTCCAGGCTTATGTGTTAACACATCTACTTATCACCAAGATATGGAGACATGTGCTCTCATTATACCCAGTTTACAGATCAAGAAACTTAGGCATAGAGCAATTAATAATTTGCCCAAATTCTCTTAGCTGGTAAGTGTCAGAAGTAGTATTTGAACCCAGATGGTCTCTCTTAATCATTATGTAATACTATAAAAGTATATGATAAGCTGACATCTTAACTTTTCTACTTAAACTGTGTCTTAAAAATTAGTGCTAACAGAGTATCTCTTGAATATACTGAAATTGAATAAAAATGCAGTCAAAGCAATTGTAAATGACGGTAAACAGAGCCTAGCCTTCCAAAATATTAATAGTAAGTTTTTTGATACATGAAGATAACTTAAAACCAAATTATGAATCCTCCTCATATGTTATTTTATAAATCTATACCTTTCCAAATGATTGTTTCATCTTTGTTGAAATTAGTTTTACAAAACATGTTATAGTTACCACGAGATTGTTAACCTAGTATTTTCATTATATATCTTTTACTTGTGTGCTATATTTTAATGGCTCATACTAAATACCAAAACCTTAAGAAATGTTTAAAATTGATTTTGGAATTAAAAGTTTAGTGAATATTTTAATTTAATTGCTGTTAATGATACTTTCAACATGAAGATGGAAACAAGGGGCATTTCCTGTGCCTTGCATGATATAAAGAAAATTCTAAGTGAAAATTATCTGCACAAATTGAGACTCCAAAAGCTGTTTTCTAAGATATTCATTTAATTAAAAGAAAATCTGATAGTTTACTCCATGCCTTTACTTCATTCTCTTACTTATTCTTTTCACTTCAGTTTTCCTGTTTGGGGGATAAAATCATCACCCCCTTCCCTGAGATGGACGCAGCCTAGTTAATATTTGTCATCTGCCGCACACATGTGCTGCGCACAGAAGCCATTTGCCAGTCTCCTACGCTTGGCCCTTGTTGGGGCTCCAGATGAGCATTCTGCAGCTGTTCATCTAGAATAAGGGTCTACAAAGAAAACGCAAAAACCCAATATTAATCTTTTTAAGTGTTTATGAAGTATTGTCAGAATGCAGAGTACTGTTCTGTAATTTTAGGGTGCAAATTAAGAAAAATAGCCCTGGTTTCTGAATTCCAGAAGTTAAAAATCTAGTATAAGCAGCAAACACATCTGTAAATATACCTTAAGTGAAAGAGAAAAAAATTGTTTTGGAAAACACAGCCCTGAAGAGGAGGCTAAGGGAAATTCTGGCAATAGTTTGCAAACATAGGAAGGCTGAGTCACTGATGCATTTGTGCAGCATTTAGCAAATGTTCACTGAGAGCCAGTTTGGTGCCAGGTTGGTTCAGAGACAAACCAGCCAGCCCTCTTGGAGTGCTCTGTCTGGTGACTAGGTCTTCTTTGTGTTCATTGAAGGAACACCAATGGGAAATAATTTACTATGCCAAAGAGTCTGATTAGGTTAAATGTGTACTAATAGAATGAATCATACTGAAGAAATTCACCAATTTAACATACTCATATTTGCAATACCTTCAAAATTGAATAAATTCATCTATTTAAAGACATATGGTAACATCTTACCACTGTAAAATGATATGAAGTCAATGTTTTCTTTATTCTCAAGTCCATTTACTCCTGCTTTTCCTCCCTTTATTCAATATTATGTATTTTTCTTAGATAGAAAGAAGAGTACTGATAAATAGGCTTCAGATGTCTTTCACACTCAGTTGTAATTAGGGAATGGAATCTGTAATGTTCACTGACTTGTCTTTAATAGGGCAGCTGTCCAGACAATATGACTGTTGATAGAGGCATTGCTAATCATGACATGTAGACGTCTTCCATTTCGGGTCTAGTCATGACAGTATGTTCATATTGTCCCACTTCCAAACCCTTTTGGTCTCTGTTCCCTGCCTGTCCATTGCTCATTTTATCTTTATTGCCCTCTGACAAGCATCACCACTTAATATGTGATGAACATTGTTAATCATACCCCTCCACATATTGGGGTACAGGCTATCAAAGAACTTTAGGTTTTTAACAACCCAGTTCAAAAGGGAGCTAGCTGAACCAATAGCTTATCAAAATAGATACACAGATGGCAAATAAGCATATGAAAAGGTTCAATCTTTAAAGATTCTACCCTTACCTGGTATTACAATAGACTTGAAAATGATAAGGTTCCTGATTCAGGAATGTTCTAAATTGTTTGATGTATTTAAAAAATATCTTTCACTAGGAAATCAACAGATTTAAAAGTAAAATGCCTGGAAGAGCATTCATTAAGTGGTGTTGTCAGAATCAATAACCTCTCAGCCCTGACTTTCTAAGTCTGTTTTCCCTTCTTTCATTCAAGAAAACCCCAGAATGAAAAACCTAAAGTTTAAGTACGGAATGGGGAAGTGATGTTCCTACACATTCACAAAGACCTGCAGAATTCACTAAGTAAGCTTATGGTATCCTGCCCTCCAAACCACAAGCCAGGCAGTCACTCAGAAAATATAATATAGAAATACATAGCATGCAATATTAAGTTAGCTATTCAACCAAGTAAGTTAATTGTACATGTTTTTTGGTCTACTGTCTGTCCTTGCCTCATAGAAGACAAATATAAAGGCTTATCTTTTTTGTTGGTCTGGATTTATATCTTAAGAGAATATTATGTATATAAAGAACATAATAAATTTGTTCCCAAAGATGAAAGGCATATTGCATGGGTGCATCAAGTTGTTAATGATCATGGTAGCATAATGATAAAGTTCAAAAAATAGATAAAAAAAAGATAATCTCACATAGCAGAACATGAAAAATGAGACAACATGTCAAGTAAATTGGCCTTTAGCTTTGTTAACAATACTTTTGTTAACAGTACTGTCAACCATAGTATCAATCCATCACTTAGTATGTCACCAGTGCACACTAGGGAAAATGCCCCAAATGACTTTCCTGAATTTTTTTCTGTGATTAATTTCTGTTAAAGTCATATGAGTCTACCATCGTCAGCATTCCTCACCAGAGGGTGCATTTGTTCAGCGGATGCACCTGCACTGCCACATCACTCTCACCCAGAGCCCATCACTGACCTGATGGTTTGCTGTTGGCAGTACACATTCTATTGGTTTAGACATGCACCTGTCATTATTGTATCAATTAGAGTAATTTTATTGCCCTAAAAATCTTCAGTGCTCTGCCTTTTTATCCCTGTCCTCATACCCAACCCCTGGCAACCACTGATCTTTTACTGTCTCCATAGTTCTGCTTTTTCCAGAACATTACATAGTTGGAAACATACAGTACGTAGCCTTTTTAGAATGACTTCTCTCACTTAGTCATATGCATTTAAGGTTCCTCCATGTCTTTTCATGAATTACAGCAGAAAAAATTTCATATCTCATCACACAGATGTCATCCCACCCCAATTCCTTGAATATTTTTTCCCTGAACCTTTTAAGCTTTATATTTAAAAGTTTGGAAGGGGTACATATTAAGATATATGTGCTAGCATGATAACTAAAAATAATTCTACAGTAGAAAAGAAGTGGAGACAATTGTTTAATGGTTATTGGGCCAACCAGAACATTGAAATGTATCCTTAACCATTTAATTTTTTTATTTTTTATTGTTGTAAAATTTCATTTATTTTTTAGACAGAGGGCAAGGGAGGGAGAGAGGAAAAGAAACATCAATGTGTGGTTGTCTCTTGCATGGCCCCTATTGGGGATCTGGCCAACAACCCAGGCAGGTGCCCTGACTGGGTACTGAACCAGTGATCCTTTGGTTCATAGGCTGGCTCTCAATGCACTGAGCCACACCAGCTGGGGGTGTCCTTGACCATTTTAAATATACTTTCCTGGGCACATTAACTAAGAATTGGTATCAAAAAAGAAGGAAAAAAACACTTTTAATGTTAAATAACTTGTGATTTTCTCTCAAGCTTGGATTATCGAGTGGGAAATCTTAACCCTTATATATGTATATTACATTTAAGACTATAGATTTCATTTATTATTCCATTAGAGTATATACAAAAAATACAGCCATTATATCCAAAACAAAAGCTCTTAAAACTTAACAATAAGAAAACAAGCAACCCAGTTAAAAAGTGGGCAAAAATGAGCAGATGCTCCATGAAAGAAGATATCCAATGGCAAATAAGCATCTGAAAATCTGCTCAACATCATATGTCATTATGGGATTGAAAATTAAAACAACAATGAGATACTACTGTACAACTATTAGAATGACTAAAATCTTTAAAACTGACAACGCTATATGCAGAAAAGGAGCAACCAGAACTCTCATTCATTTATTTTTTTACCTGAATGAATTTTATTTTTTAAATTATTTTATTGTTGTTCAATTACAGTTGTCTGGATTAACCCTCCCACTATTCCCCCCTACCCAAGCCAAATCGATCTCCCTCCCTTGCTTCCATACCCCCACCTTGGTTTTGTCCATGTGTCCTTCATAGTTGTTCCTGAAAACCCTTCCCCCCATTATCCCCT